AACCGATTAATATATACTAAAAAAAAACATGCATAGCTCAGGCATTAAAGGCTCTCGGCGCTAATACTTCATTAATCACAGTTCGAATCCATTGTAACAATTACAGGGTATAAATACTGTTTAGCCATAGCTTAAAGCCGCGCACAGCTTTAAGCTGAAGATTTATGCGACTTCGCATAGGTGTCAGACAAACAAAATTATGTTTGAAAACGATTTCGTACCTTGGCAGTCATACATCATCAGGCTCGATGTTGGGCGAGGGGAGAGCGGAATGGCGCTGAGGATGTAGGGATTACGCTTGTAGGTAGTTGGGGGTCTCTGGCAACCCTCCAAAGTGTAACAACCCTCAACGTTAACAAATTTGTTTGCGACGTTTTTAAATTTTCCCAAATACACACAAACTGGGAAGCTAATGTAAATTGTATGTGTGTGCGTGTGTGTTATGCTTGGGGTAGGTGAGGGGGCCGCACCTTATTTAGTCAAGCTAACCTAACGGCGCCCGAACCAAGTGATTTGTTGACAAAGAAATTTTTTAATAATTCACAAGGCTAAAAAAAAAAAAAAAGAAAAAATCTCATTCAGCATAAATGATGATGTAATTTTCGCTAAAAATTGAAAAAATCTTCAAACGTAAACGAAGAGGGGGTGAGTGGGGGGACGGGGCGCAGCGTGGCTTGGGGTGCGTACATAAAATATGTTGCAACAATCTGTTGGCGTGTGTTGCCACTGACGATGATGAATGTTGCACGCATGCGTTGCACTGATTTGACGGACGGACGAGCGAACGAACGAACGGACAGACGGACGAGCGAACGGTTCTGACAATCTTGTCACGGCGTGCTGCTAACTCCCGCCTGAGTGCGCTCCCAATTCCTGCCAGAAATGGAGTAAGCTCAAATCTAATCTATGCAGCTGGCAAAAACGTGTGCAAACCCAAGGAACTCTGCATTGACACGAGCTGTGGACTAGACAGAGTTGCCACCTGCTACGAGTAATTGAATAAGGAACACGATTCCATTTGCCATATTGCCTACTGCTGCCGAGGCAGATAACATTCTGCTAGCCGAGATAAAGATCTATCTTAGAAGAAAATTTTAGAATTTATTCATCTGCCGTTATCGAGCAACAGGACTTCCACGTATTAAAAAAGCTGTACATTAGATTGTGGCGGTATTTCAATGCTAACCTGAGTCCCATTTGAGACATATTTCAAAAGCGAATTAGTTGTGAGCCCATCATATACACTAATTCTGTTCTGCAGTAGTTCTGCAATAAATGGAGTTGACATCTGCTGCTAGTTTGCTGCGGCCTGCAGTATAAGATCAAGTGTTGCCACTTGCTATAAAGCGCCTGCCATTTGCTATAAAGCGACTAGCATTGGCTATAATAGAGCTGCCAACTAGTCAAAATTTTAGCTTACTTTTCACAGTAAATAGCTGACAGTGGATAAACAGAGCTTAGTATTATTTTTTTTGGATTACTTTCTGAATATTTATTTCAGCAAGCGAATTGCCGTACTCTAAATTCTCTTATCATCAACATTCTTCTGTTATTCAGCACCTATCCATTCTCAGCTAACGCCTGTAGCACGCTAAGACCTCTCAACTATAATCGACTCTTCAACTACTTATTGTTGCATTATTTCGGCACAATTTGCTAGCTAAAGTTCCATTTCTCCCCGATATTTGTCGACATTGACTCGGCAACCCTCCCAGATGTAATGAAGCGCATGATGTCTGACGGGTTTTCCAAAGCAAGGACCCCATAATTCTACCAGTGAAATTGATAGTTGACCGCAAGTTCCGCTCATGTACGAAAATGTACCCAATGTCTGTCGTAATGCTCATGGCTCATTAGTTTTCGCCTAATTTGAGTTGCAAGCGGCTTGTACGTCTGTCTGGCGCTGCCTTCTAATGGAATTCAATCAATTTTCATTTATTTCGATTACGAAATTCGCACCACCAAACAAATGGAGCTAGCCACTCCGGACAAGTCCCCCCCTCAGCGCCGGCAAGAGCCCGACCAAAACCATTTTGTGTCTGCAAATGGGCACTGAAAAATTTCTTAATTACCCTGACGTGCAGCCTGTGTGGAATCGCAGACGAAGGCGACGGCCAAGAAGGAGGCAGGAGGCGGGTGAGGATGGTGTGAGCCCCTTGGTTGACATGCTTCATCAACATTTTGGTTGTGTTTTCTTAATGTTCCCCAGACAAAGCAAGACAAATGAGCAAGCATATCAAATACATAAAAATAAATATACTTGGAGTCTAACGAAATTGTACTTTGAGAAGCGCCAATAGAGGCGGTATGAGAAGGCGTAAATTTATAATACATATTACATGTTTTAGAAAATAACACCTTGAGAGGCGCAACGATTGATGAGGATGCCATGAGAAGCGCGAAGAACGACGATTGTAAGAAACAACAAATATACATAACAGCAAACTGTTTCCATGAGAAGCGCAAAGGGATCCTAGAGCAGCACAAAAGCATTTCTGATTTCATCTTTCTAGGCTTTGTTCGGTCCGTAGCGATGTTGTTGAAAACAAATGTCAATGGGAAAAATGAAAGGAAATATCAAAAAGAAAGATAGAAACTGGACCAAAAATAAGCAAATGAAAAAAAGGTTTCGTGGATGCTGGCAACTGCGTATAATCTGCTTATCAAAGGGTTGCATGGACGTAGGCTACCCCGCGAGTCCTTCTAACTATCCCAATGTTTTGCACAGAGGACTCCGTCCACAAAAATGAAAGCACGTCAACAAGGAAGTGAAAATTCGATTTGCATTTTCTTGTGCGAAATGAAATGAAATTAAATTTTTCTCTTCATATCATTTATTGTTTTTGGTTTTCCTTTGAATTTTGCTCCTTTCATATCACAAAGCAAAGGGAAGCCCGCAAATTGATTTTCACTTGCTTCTTTTGTTTTTGCAATTCAGGCCCAAAAAGTTACACAACCAACAAAAGTTCCGTTGCCCAACTACAGTGAACTCTGCCGAGCACCTGCTGTCAAGTAATGCAATGCAAATTATTATACAACAGGTATCTGCCCAGATGAATCGCATATGTATTATACTTATATATAAGCAACACACAAGTTTATTAAAAAATGCCAACATATTCACAAAAATAAACAGCATGAATGAGAAAAAATATTTATTAACTAGCCGAATTTTGTATATACTTATCTATTTATATGATATGACTTTTAATTCGATTTCAATTTACATGGAGAAGTCTATTTATCGATATAAACATATATAATAATATATGTCTGTTATTTAACACGATATTCCTATTCAGGATAGGATAACTATGTTAGCTTAGCTACAGAAAACTATTTAAAAGAATTTTAAAGTCAGGCGCGATCTTCTGCATATTAGTCGTAGCCAAATCTTATAAGGAATCTAAGTTGCATCAATGGATGAGCCACTAGATTTATTGGTCTTTGTATTAAGATGTCCGGAATATTTGGACTTTCGCAATAGGAAGGAAAGCTGAATGAGCATTGCACGAGATCGATATCCTCTTCTCATTTTGTAATTGTGTAGGAAATGCGCTCTCCTCTGCGATTCTCACACTACTCTCATACTACACTTTCACTTATACATATGTACATATATGAATATATATTAAAAATCTCAAAAGGTTAAATATCTCCAGCTCAACAGAAAGTCACAAACCGTTCACGAAACTGCATACATCCTCAGCTGGGCAGGCAGGAAGAAGACCCTCGCAACAAACAGGAGGGACATCAAACAAATCTGTAAGTGAAATCTGCCTGCCCATTGGCAATGCGCTGCGTATGGGGAGGGGACACCAAACGTAGGAATTGAGCTCTGCGAATTGCGAATCGCGAATCGCGCCTCAATTATAATGAGAAAAGCAAACGAATTGGGAATAATTTTCAATTCACTTGTTTCCCACCTACATTCGTGCCGCTTTTTTGGCTTCATTTTATTTCTTATTTTCGGCAGCGATCCTCAGATATTTATGCGCCCTTTGTTTTCATTATTTATATCGTACAGCGGGGCTCTCCGCTTTATAGGCATTGCGCATTCATGCGAAACCTAAACGGACAATGCCTCGCGGCGCTGAGCTCCTCAGTTTCGGTTAGCTTTGTATAATAAAGCTGTTAATTTTTTGTTTTGTTTGTCGCGGGGGCGTGGCTTGTTTGGAGAGGATGTTCACGTAAGAAACAGAGAGCGCGCGCGAGAGAGAGGGGGATATGAAATAACGGAGCTATCTGTCAGGTAATACCTGACTGCAATTGCATAAATATATGGGCTGTGCATTTTACATTCAATATCTAAATTCTATTATTGGCTATATATAAATTGGCTAAAATATAAACAATATTCCGAAGAAACAAGCAGACAGACGCACAGATGGAGAAGCAGACAGTCAGGCAGACAGACAGGTAGGACTAAATCGACTCAGCTTTCTGTTACATACATTTCAACATAACGAATGTACCCCGATTCCCCTGATACATACATACATTTCAACAAACAATTATTCAATATATAATAATAATATATACAAATAAAATTATTTATTATATTATGAAATATTAAAAAAAAATAATAATAAGATAATTTAGATAAATAAAAAGAGAAAACGAAAACTCTTCGTTCTGCGGTCGGTTCGAACCTGGAGAAACACCGCAGTGGCGCTAACATCTCTTCCAACAGAGCAACGCAGGTCTGCTCACGAACAGTGTTCGAAAACCTCAAATACATGCAGGTATGTGCACATGTATATATATATATATGTATTAGTTATATATATATATATATACATGCATATATAGAGAAATGGCGTCCGTTCGACGCTGACGCGACTACCACATATTCGTTCCTAACCTCTGCGAATTCACGAGCTTAGCTAGCGAATTTTGATTAAATTTTGTTTTGTTAAATATTGGATATAGCAAAAACAGTGAGCTGAAATTTAATTGATTTTCTGGTAACCCAAAATGCGAAATAAAACAAATTTGGATATTTGCACTCAGAGAGAGTGAATACTAATGAAATCGTTTATTGAAAACAGAAAAGGGGTTTCTTATATTGTTATTATCCCTAGAATTATTATTAATTATTAATTATTATCCTTAGAATAGCAGATACTAGGGATCTCAAGAATATGGAACGTAAAAGTTACTTAGGTGTCACCTGGTTTGGGAATGGTGGCAAAACGCTTATAGGGTATTTTACGACGAAGTGCGCTTCTATTTATGATATTTGCAATATCAGATTCTTTTCCTGTCAATCCGGTGTCCAGTGACGGACTGGAGCAGTTAGCTGCCTTTTCTGAAGCCTTGTCTGTGCCGCCAGCCAAGCCAACTGATTCATTTGTTGCAGGTGAGGCAGGGGTGCAGGTGGGGGGCGGGACCACAAAGCGACGACCCTTGTTGGAGTTGATGTTCGTTAAGTATTTGTAGCTGAGAGATGACATGGGCTTCGATGAAGAAGCTGCCGTTGAATCAGCCGTAGACTTGTCCATATCGCCAGAAAAGAAACATTTCGAATCCATGGATTGTTTTATCTCCTCCTTCGGCGAGTCCACGTGAGTATCAGTCGACGGCTCCGATGGCTCGTCGGGCTCCCGATTCATGCCCTTGGACACTGCCCACTCCTTGGGGCGCTTGACCAATCTGACGTGCAGCGGTGGATGGCCACGCTCCACAACAAAGTCATTCAGGGCCAATATAGCCTTTTCGACCGAGGCCCTCATCTCGTAGCGCACAAAGGCAGTGCCCCGCGACTGGTTGGTGTACCGATCCTTGAGTAGGTTCAAATCAACTATCTTCCCAAAGCGCTCAAATATCTCGCGCACCTGCGCCGCATCGTAGCTCAGTGGCAAATTGCCCACATAGATATTGGTTTTCTTAGTATCATCCGAGGAGGGACGAGCCATCGAGACCTTCAGCTTCTTTCCGCGCACTGGGCAACCGTTCATCGAGTTCAGAGCCTTGTTGGCACTTATGGAGTTGGTGTAGTTGACAAAGCCGTAGCAGTGGCTGGCTCCTGTCTCCGGGTCGCGTATGATCTTCACCTGCCGCAGTAGGCCAAAGCTATTGAACAGCTGGTGGAGCTCATTCTCCTGCATGTCGCTTGGCAAATAGTTGATCAACAAATTAGTGCCCCCGGACTGCTGAATCTCTTTGCCATCGGTGACGCCAGTTCGGTTCGCCATATAATTGGAAAATACTGCCTCCTTGTAATTATCCATGGATTTCTTTAAACGGTTACTATATAGAATATTAAGCAAAACAAAACAAAACAAAAACAAAAGCTAAAAATAATCAAATAACTTAACGATATTTTGTTCTCTCACGTTCTCTCGGTTTTTGAATAACTTACGAAAATATCAAAATTGACTTTAAAACAAAAAGCACGAGGCGCAGCAGTTGAATACAAAATTTTGGCATTCTCATTTTGCTCGAGAACTAAGTATGATGTTAGCCAACACTAGTTTATTATCGATCCATCGGTTGAGCTGTCGATGTATGTATTTTAATAACTATCGAGTACTTCTGCGAATTTACAGACTTAAGAGAACAAATTGACTGCTAAAATGTAGTAGTAAATTTAGATCAACAAACTGCTTATTATTAACAAATCGTTTTTTGCCACACACAGCTAAATTGCTATGGATAAGAGGGAAGTGATATCGATAGGTTTTCATATTTTTTAAAATAATTAAATTGACCAAAGCTCTTTTATTTCCATGAAATTCCAATTTATGTCAATTGATATACGAAATCTAAACGCCGTAAGTTTTTAATTAGATAAATATATAGATATATATATAAATTTACATATTCACAGCCTTGCGTGCCAAGATGAAATGAACGCAAAAGCTGCTACCAAAAATGGGAAAAATAAATGAAACCGAGTTTTTTCAGCTGTTTATTTATTTGTTTGCTGATTATGGAATTGTTAAGGACACACAAAGAATGCGAACGATTTGAAGGCTTGCCGCTGTGCCAGGTACATTAATTGGAGCAGGTGCAAAATTTGGTGGAAAGCAAAACAAGCCGAAAGCGTGATCAAGTATGGGGCAATAACGATTCACTTGCTGTAGCTCTTGAATAATTTCTAGGGTATTCCAGTCTCGATGCAGTTGGAAAAGGAAAAAAAGCTTTTGCTCATTGCATGAGTTTTCATATTAATTAATTTCCATTTCCGTTTTCCGTTATCTTGCGCACGCCGATTTTTACCTTTATGCAGACTCAGCAATTAATCAAGTTTAATTACGCCCTAACGTTTCGAGTTAGCCGGGCCTCCACATAGGGATTCTAGCGAACATTGGCCGCATTAATCACTCGAATATGCCCAAACATTTCTCATGTGTGCGAGTGAGCGAGCGTGGGCGGAAGTGCGGCGGGGCCTTGGTATCCCATGAGATAAGAATAAGAGTCTCATAAAAAGGGACGTCTCACGTAAACAGCGCATTTAAATATTTGCCAGGATAACGACCCATTGTCAGATCATTTAATGACCTCTCAACTGAAAAATATGTTTGAAATAATTTTAGCCGAGACACGTAAGGCACTTGTGTTCCACAATAGTGGCACGACTTAGCGAGTGCAACAACCGGCGCAAGCTGTCACAGTCTGACTGCTATGTCCAGTAACAATGAATTGTGGTTGTTGTTGTTGATGAGGATTTTGTGTACCCTGTGGGCCTTATTTCTTAAATCCAATTGGTATATTCACGTAATACCCTAGAACAACTTCATACACCTATATATGCAGTTACATTTTTATTTTTGTATTGTTTTTAATCAGTTTAAATTATTTTGTTATATATTTTTACCCTGTTTTAATAAATAGAAAGATATCAATTTACAAAGCAAAATAATCAATCGAAACACCTATAAATAAATTTTAAGTACATACATACATACATATGTACATACTTACATATATCAAAGTCTATGAAATAATTTAAATCAAAACACATTCGCGATATATAATATCGTTCAATTAATTCGATTTATTTGATGAACTTCTCGACGTTGTTGCTCTCTACGTTTCATTTATCACATTTTTATGTGCAAATCTTCGATTCAAGGATTCCCCATATTAATGCACACACGCAGAAACACTGTATGTATAATCACGCACACACACACGCATGCACATGCGTGTCAACTGATGCCGCGACCTCCAGCTTTGTATCTAATTGGCAGCAACGTTGTGAATGCAAACAATTCACAGCTGCAATTTGACAACAATGAAATACAATTTCGGTGTTTCAGAACCAATTGAGACGATCTTTGTATGCGCAATTGGAAGATATCTTAACATATGGATTGACTGGCTGGGCATTTCCCCCCACACACTAACACTTACGCGCACACACAGCTACATTCATACATATATATACATTCCACATGGCTTTGCTGTCTGTCAAAATTGCCAAAAACAACAATAATGGCAACTACAATAACAACAGATGTTCGAACTTCGAAGCTGCGCGAAAAGGTAAACGAGTTGCGCTCACGATTATATCCAAAGAGAGCGAGAGAGCAATGTAACTGGTTGGCTTCGTTCGTGTGAATGTGTGTATGCGAGTAAGTATGCGCATGTGTGTGTGGGAGGCATGTAACACTGACTATGACCTCAAACCACCCACAGTTACAATGCAAGCCGCTTGCGCTGGCAGCGACGCAAGCGTCAACAGCGATTTTGCATTTTGAAGAAACAATTTTTGCATTTGCTGACGTCACACGCAACAAAATACTATTGCTGAGTTTGCCAATGTTGGTTGTTGTTTCTTCTTTGTTGTTAGTTGGCCGTTGGTTTAGCTGCTTGTTGTTGTGCCCACAAAAGGTGCGCTTACAATTTTCTCCACTTTCTACAAGAAAAATGTGAGAAATCAAAAAGATGCCACCGCTTTGTCTCATTTTGTGTAAGTGTGTGTGCCTGTGTGTGTTTGAATCTGTATTTGTGTGTGTGGCGGCCACAAAAGTTCACTGAGAAAGCAACTTGAGACTGGGCTAATGTTGAAATGAAAATAGACCGCAATTTATTGATAAAATCAATCAAAATGTAGCGCTGATAAGTCTGCTCTCTGTGTAGTATTTTATTTATTTTGTTCACTTATACAATGGCAACCCTTTCAGAACAGATGGCTTGCTGGAGTCCAAAAGGCAGCGCAGTCAACATTGGCGGCGGCATTCAATTGATGCAAAGTGGATGGAAGAACATCGAAAGAAAAAACGTGCGTGGTTTCAATTGACGATAGGCAGCGGGGATGCCAAGAATTGAGGGAAGGAACTCTCAACAAGACGTATTTTCATGCTAAAAACGTTCAAAATGTTTGTTTACAATTTACAACAAAATCTTCACACACACACAAACGCAATCGCGTCCACAATCGAATGGAAGAGTGGAAGAGAGAAGCAGCTTAAATTCTGAATGGGAGAGCAGCAGTGAGAGTGAGTACTGATCGAATAGGTAGTGAATGAGTATCTGTGTTGATCTCTTGTTGTGATTAACGGCTTGCGTGTATGTGTGTAGTGTAAATGTGTGTGAGTGAATAATATTGTGGGGGGATGACATCACCGCACGTTGCTGTCGCAAAGTTCGCACTATAAAATTTTTTATCTCCCTCTCTCTTGCTAAATTTTTGTGCTCTCTAAGTGTGTTGGAGACGCCAACGTAGAGTGCTTGTACTTATGCACATGTGCGTGTGTGCTTATTCGTGGGGACTACAGTGGGCTAATGTAAATAAAATTATACTTATATATTTTTAAATATATCTAATTATATACATATATATAAGAGTAAATCATACCTCATTTATTGATTTTATTATTTTTACTATTGTATTATTCTGATTATTTCAGGCAATGCAACAAGTGACAGGGCTGCGTCGAATGTAAGCATTGTAGCACTGTGCGCTTGCATGTAGGCGCAACAACTCAAACGGATTTAATAGTTGACCAGCAACAAGAGAGCGCCCACCGCAGAGAGAGAGATAGAGAGAGAGCGTGTGCTTGAGCTTACGCCAACGCCAACTTTTATTTTTTACGTTTTACGCGCTCTTACTCGCTGGCTGCTGCATGCATGTGTGCGTGTATCGCTCTCTGCTCTAAACCTGGGGCCTCTCAATGTTCAATCAGTCGTTCGGAATTCGCGAAACTATGCGGTCGGTGTACGAAGATAGCGCTGCCGTCTCTACGGATAGCAGCAAATACCACACCAGCTATAGCTATAATAGCCAAACGAATAGTAATAACAATAATTATCATAAAAATTATAATGGCAACAACAACGGTAATGGCATACCCTATCACGCGCGCGAAAACTCATTGCCCTTTAGCTATGGCAATGCCAAAGCAGCGACGCCGCTGCGCAAAACGCCAACTCCGACGCGCGCCGATAGTTTTCTCGACTTCGATTTTGGATTGAGCAGCAAGAGCAACGGCAGCACCAATAATAATAATAATAATAATAACTATAATAGCAGTAGCAGTACGGGCAGTGATATGATAAAGCCGCAGCCACGTCTAACCAGCCCTCTGCTGGTGCGCAAAACACTCGGCGGCAGCCGTTCAAATACAAATGGCAATACGAATGGTTCGAATACAAATACCGTCATATCGAATACCTATCATTACGGGTCGGCGACGGGTGTACCGAAGCCGCGTGTCGACTTGGAGCAGCTGCTGGGTGAGCGACGCGACAAGGTGTTCAGCGAGTATCGAGTGCGGGAAAAGGAGCGTGAACTGGAACGTGAATTGGAACGTGCTACGGCACGTGTGCCGCCTACGCCACCACAGCGCCGACAAAGCAACGGTCTCAGCCACAACAAGTACAATTATGATTTTGAATTCAATCTGAACCTGAACGATATCAACGATCGCAGTTCGCTGCCGGCGCCAGCGACAGCCCCAGCGCCCTATACAACACGGAACATAGAGTTCAGACAGGATATGGATGTGCCGGATGGTGCGATTGGTGGCACTAGTCGGCGCTTGGAGTCCACACTTGTGGAACGCAATTATCACACAATTAACAACAGCAGCCGCAGCATCAGCAGAGGCAACAACTACAACAATTACCACAGCTTGGAACGACCTCCAATGGAAGTGACATACAAACAGCTCGCAGAGCCACAGTTGGAGCAGCAGGCGAGCATTTATGGCCAGAACCAGCTGCATCTGGAGACGCACACGCGCAGCCGTCGCGATTTGTCGCCCATTTATGCCATCAGAACGAAACGCAACGCAGCTACCGCTGCAGCTGCTCCAAATAGCAATGGCCATCAGGTACAGATACAGCAGCAGCAGCAGGCGGATTACCTGCTGACACCCAGCCCCACTAGCCGGCCAGAGACGCCCGCTTTTCCGGTCACGCCACGCACGCCGTTCGGCAGCAGCAGCTTGCAGCGCGCCTCCCCCACCACCGAGTCCATATACCAGACAATGGCAACCAATCGGCAGCGCCTCA